GTCGCGATCTACCGTTTATTTTGCTGTGTGTTTTGTCAATCCGCCGGTGTTAGTTTATTTTTGACCTTTTTCCAGTTATGTTATGTTTGAGTTCAGCATTAAAGCTGTTTTGGTTTAAGTTCTGTCTCCGGAGTCTGCACCTTGGGTCCTATTCCTGTCTGCACACAGCCACACCTAACAAAGATGAATTATGGATCCTTGCAGCACTCGCCCCGTCTGGCTGAACCCCTGCCAATCAAATTAGCCCTTTTACTCAACGAGACAGATTGGGCTCCGGGTGAGCAACTGAACCACTGCGGGGAGACTATTACTATTCGGAACCATGCGAACCAGCGGTTCTGCTGATCGGAGCTGGGCCTACCTGACTTATCGCCAGAATCTAATCGGAACGCGGACCGGTCCTGTTCCACACCACACAGGCCCTGCCACCGCTCGGATGGACAAACGATCAGGGCGAGCGCCCTCCGTTCGAGTCTTCTCCTCAAACCCATCGGGCTCCAACTCTGAGTGCAGCACCGGCAGATAAGCACTCCTTGGAAGAACCACGCGCTTGCCGTAGTTCCGAACACTCGTCAGACAACAAGACCTCTGGACGTGCAAAAAAACCTGGGATTAATGCTGGCACGGGCCTCGCCTGCAAAATCACTTGACGCGCCCAATCAACCGCTCGATGAGTTGTTCGCACTAAAGTAAAAACCACCATCACTTCATGCAGAGACCCCTTCGGCGCCAGCTGCGGCCTCAAGGCTGGAGCTGAACAACAACACCCTGATAACGACTGTGTTTAGACTGTTCCCCCCATTACATGCAAGGCCACCTGGGTTGGCTGGAAGACTGTTTACTTAGCCTGGCAGGGTGAAGGACACTGTCTCAGCTGAACTCTGGACACACACACAGACACACACACACATTCACACACTTACACATACACTTACACTGATAAGCACTCACTCATCCCCCCTCCCTTTCCAAATGCCTTCGATGCTTGTTTCCTGCGGGGGAACACGGTGGGTCTGTGTGCCGCGCTGGAATGGTAGCGCTGTGCAGGGCGGCTGCTGTGTTCGCTTCGGATTACTCCTCACCCCCCACCCAATCCTGTGGCTTGTCATGTCTTTCACAATGTTGTGCTGTGGACATTTATGTGCTTTTTGTGCAGAGGAGTTTTTTTGTTTCCTGTTCTCATGCTGTCCTACCATGGAAGCACAGCATGAGTAGAGCTCTCTTTTTTCCCTCTTGTACTTTCCCATTGTAGTGTATATTTCAGTGTTTTTTCTGTAACGCTACCGATCTCCAACTTGTATCCCCATGTAATGTCTGTATTGTGTGTGTGTAAGGTCGGGAGGGGGGGGATCCCCATTTCACTGCAGGGCAACCTTCATGTGGCGAATAAAGCTTTGATTGATTGATTGGAAGAGACACAAATCCCTTGGGAGCTGTATCAGGAAGAGGATCTGGTGTAAAAATTGAGACGAGATGAAACATGTCTGCGGGGGCTGCATAAAGAGACAGAAAGTCACAGAAAGCTATCGTACCTTTCACTTGTGCAGCATGATTGTACATTAGGTGTTGTGGTCTGCCAGAGAAGTCAGCAGCTTTGTGGCTCAGGGCCTCCTTTAAGGCCCAATGATAACAACCGCAGGCCTGGGACCAATAAAAAGGCTGTAGATGTTACCATAGTGTTCAGCCAGCTGGGGGAGATAAAGTGGCATGTTTTATAAAAATAGGGTATGAAATTCAGATTCAGTGCAATTATGAGACAC